GCCCTTTTCATGCCCCCATCTGGGGATCTGGCCCACAACCCAGGCATGTGCTCTGACTGGGAATTGAACCAGTGACCCCTTGGTTCACAGGCCGGCACTCAATCCACTGAGTTGCACCAGACAGGGCATAGGCTTTTTTTTTTTTTTAATTGAATACATTGCTTCCCCCAAATAAAATTTTAGGAAGGGATATTGGAATAGGCAACCAGCAATGCTCCATACTTAGCAAGTTAGAGTTGCCAGAGGTGGGGCCTGGAAGTTTGCAATTTACCAAACCCCGTGGGTGATCTGATTTATGCTCAAGTTGAGGACAGTTGTTCTGGCCATTGGCTTTGCTGCACCCTTCCTAAAGACCCACCCTGTCCCTGTACCCCAAGAGTTCGTCACTTCATAGGACAAAGCTGCCTGCTCTCCAGGCTCCCCTACACCCACCTCCCATGACCCTGAAGTTCCTTTCTGTCTCACAGAAAGGAACCTCCTCCTTATGTGTGGCTATCGCAAAAGCCCCCACAAGGGCACTCTGTGGAGACAAGGATTTATAGGACAGATATGGTATATTTCTTGATCCTGTTGAATAAATTAGTTAAGAGAGGAAAAGGCCCATACCTTAAACTTTTAAAACTATTATGACTTTGTCCCTGGCTGGTGTGGCTCAGTGAATTGAGCATGGGCCTGCAAACCAAAGGGTCACCAGTTCGATTCCCAGTCAGGGCACATGCCTGGGTTGTGGGCCAGGTCCCCAGTAAGGGGTGTGCGAGAGACAACCACATATTGATGTTTCTCTCCCTTTCTTTCTCCTTCCCTTCCCCTCTCTCTAAAAATAAGTAAATAAAATCGTTTTAAAAATAACTATCATGACTTTGGACACATATCAAAAAAATTTTTGATTTTACTCCCTACTTTAAATTGATTAAAGTCGGATGTTCTGTTTACAGTCACCACAGGAGATGTAAGTAGTTGGATGAGTAAGTAGCTGACACCGTGACTAAGCACCTCCGAAGCCCAGTCCTCTCAGAGGGCAAAAGGACCGACCCAGAGTCCACACTGACTCGGATCTGGGAGCTGGTGACGTTGAGGGCTACTTAGTGATACTGCTGCTCCACCTCAAAAGTGTTTCTTTTCCTTTTAGTTCAGGTATTGTCCAATTTTTTTGTGAATTCAGTTTTGTTATTCTGCTTGTCAAACAGGTTTCATCTCAATTTTGAAAGGTGATGGTCTGAGCAAAAACAATGCTATGGATATCACAGCTTTGCCTATCTTTCCCATCATGCTTATTTGTCGAAGTGGAACTGTATTTCCGAATGCAAGCTTGGAGTCTCGGAGTCTGAAACTTTGGGTCATTGGCCCTCTCACATAGTGACGGTTCACATTTATTAAACGCTGTCTTCTAGTCCCTATCATTCAGTTTACTCCCATGCTTATTTATACTTAGAGTGACCTGGAAAATGGGAATTGTTCACAGTTCACAGGCGGGTGTCCTGAGACTCAGGGAGGTTCGGGGACTCTCCCGAGGTCTGCGTACCTGTGACTTGCAGAGACGAGGCGTGGTTCCAGAGGTGTCAGTCGTCAGAGGTTTCCCTGTGGCCTGGTCTCCCTCTCACTTTATGTACGATAAGAAGAAAAACCAGAGAAGTAAGTGGGATTGTGTACTATCACGTGACCCCTTCTACCTTCTTAGTGGTGGAGCAGTAAACTGTGAAATCAGTGCAGAGCAGGTCTACGCTCCGCTGGTGTTGACTTGATGCATTAACTTTTAAACTTCTTTTACTGAGCATAATACAGCCACTTGTTTTGTGGAAAATTGTGCACACTAGTGTGGGGGATGGGGAAATGCGCAGGCAGCATTGCCGTTCTTACACTGCTTTACTGGTTAATGTTATGGTAGTTCTTTAAGGCATTGTTTTACTTTTAACAATGCCTGCAATTCTCGCATATTTAACATCAAAGTATAATGTGGGGCAAAGTTTTCATAGCTTGATAAAGTAGTAGTGCAGTGAGCCATGAATTTGATACCCAAGACACATTATGACATCACATCATTGGCTATGTCAGACTATGAAGGTTTTTAATGGACGTACAATTACCCTTTTAGAACCAATGACTGGACCTAAAACTTTGACTGGGTCTTGACCTTTCTATCGGCCACCGACCACATCAGCTCGTTAGAAGAGCTTCATCTCTGAAATGCACAGTGAGATTTCAGGATTTTTGTAAAGGATTTCACATGCACTAACTAGAAACTGTCCATTTTCAGCCAATCACCTTGAGCGGGGATGTGTAGCTCTGGGACTCTCTGTGTGGGGCGGGGGGCGGGGCGGGGGGGGGGAGGTAAGCATTGTGCTCAGAAAACCAAACACCAGTTGTCCTGTTGCTTTGATTTGTGTGTCATTATGACATTTATATTTTGAGTTTCAAACAACATTAAGACACATTTAGATTATTTATCTGGCAGGGGCATGAATATAAAATATTGAGACTAAGCAATGATTAAAACCACGAGAGAAAGCATGTCTGGCCTGTGTTTCTGGTAACGGTGCAGAATGCAGTAGTTCCCATTTCAAATGCAAGGGGAAACCCTATCCTGTTAACAATCTGCCTTAGATATAAAGAGGTAAGGCAAAGTATTTTGTGGCTTTCTTTTCCTTAATGGATTATATATCCTTGGAAATATATTATTTATGGTCTTAACTCCTTGTCAAAGTCATTGGTATTCAATGCTCCCAAGTATGTATTAGATAAACATCTTAATCCTCTTGCCACCACGTGTCACTTGGGGTTCAGCCCTCTAGGTGTGTTAGTTGTACCCCTTTAAACATCCCGGAACCTGGATGGCTAACACTGTGCTCTTTTCTCCTTTCTCAGTGCCAAGGTGTGTGGTTATAATAAGGGTTTCCTCATCTGTAAAAGGGAGTAGCTTATCTTTTTAAAGGATAAAACACTTCAGAGTCATGTGGAATATGCTGGCAGTGTGCCCACAGTGATACGATGCAAAGGGCTGTCTCTGCCGTGGGGCCGCTCGGGCACTCAGCAGCGGGACATTGCCCTCAGCTGCTCTAGGGGACAGAGAGCCGGGGTCAACTTCTGTGGTAGGGCTGTGCTGTCCTTAAGGAAAATCTCTCCCTGGCTGACGGCACTGCCTTGGCTCTGCCTGGAAACACAGGGACATATGGAGCAGTGTGTGCACTGCAGGGAATATCTGGTTGACACATCAGGCAGCACATTAGATAACCAGTCAGTCTAGGAAACTTGAGTAACTTTCTCTGGGATTTCATTTTCTCATCTATAAAGTAAGAGATGTTGGAGTGGATGACATGGGTTGTCGCCTTCCAGTTATAGAAATGCCCTTTTAAGTGTTTGGTCAAGAAAGCGGAAAAGCGTTCTCCCTCTTCCAGTAAGAAGTGGCCACAGCACTGGTCAGAGGTGGTGGTGCTGTGCAAGAATTCTCCCACCCTCTGAACTACGTCTGCAGACCCATGAGGAAGAGGAAGATCTCCCGGGTTCTGCTGAGTTTCCATATTGCCGGAAGCTTTCATTCTTAACGTGACACACCACACAGAACAAAACTTGTGCAGCTGTCTTTGTAGTTAGTAACTGCAGACTTCTCTACCCGGTGCTTCCCTTTCAGCATGGCCGGGACTTCCTGTGTTTTATTTTTGTTCTTGTGGAAAATATCATCCCAGGATAATAAAGACTTTTCTGGACTAAACTTAACCTGGTTATTTTATTTTTCCATTACTCCATTAAGCAGTATCTAAAATTGTATGGAGGCAGAGTAGAATTTGGAGGAGAAAAATATTAAATTGGGAGCAGCTTTGCATTTGTTACTATCAATAAAATGTAGTTAAAGTGTGTTTTTCATCATGTGATTTAATAGGAAAGTGCACTATTATAGTGTTTGTTTAATTTATTTTATTGTTGTTCAATTACAGTTGTCTGTATTTCCTCCCCACCCCTCCCCTCCACCCCCTCCAAACCCACCTCCCTCCTATTACAGTGTTTTTACTCATTGGTCAGAGTTGTTAATCTCTGATTAACATTGATTGCCACTTATTTTTCCTTAGACCTCTACTCTGTAACCTGACCTATTAAAAGTATAAACTTTATAAGTCAAGGCAACTGAAAAATAATTCACAATGGCTGGCCTCATATTTCCACAGGTGTGTGGGAGTCAGAACACCTGGGTTCTAATCCCTTCTTCTTTAGTCATTGCTACTGGAATCCCCCACAAAAAGCTCTTTGCTTGTTTTTTCATCTGTCAGGTGAAGATTAGGGTCCCTCCTATGTCAGAGAATAGTATGATGTCAGATAGTAACAGCATGCTTTGCAAAGTCCTATATGATAGGTTAAGCAGTGGATTTTTCCCAGTTTTTCACTTATTAAGTTACTTTAAAAGTACAATATTTGAAGAACTCTGATCTTTCTTTTAATGACAGCTATTATGTCATGTTTCGTTCTAAAAGAGCAGGTTTGCGTGTGTCTGCTTTTTTAGAGGAGATCAGTCTTGCGTGTTGAGTCACAAGCAGGTGGGGATGTGAAGGAAAGATGAGTAAAGCACTTGAGGGTCTTTATCTCGGGTCCAGTCCTAATCTTTTCAGCTAACATTTAACCCACTGTACTTAATTTCTTCCTGCAAGCTTCATTTTCTTTCATTCTTATCTCTTCTTCCTCTACCCCTAGCTTTCTTTTTCTACTTTAGAACCTCTCTTGTCTTAGATCAAGGGAAGAGGACGTGGTGGACTCTATAGCTTTATGTACTGTCATAGTGATGGTTAGGGAGAATCTGCTGTACACGTGCAGAACAAAAACTAGTTACTTGTGTACTCAGACCACGTGATCAGCCACTTCCGCTCTGTGAGTCCGTTCTCTGTGTATATCCTTAATCTTGCCAGTCTGTGTCGCTATGGATCGGAAGATCTGGATTTATTCTTAGGGTCAAAGGTGTTGAATAGAGACACTATCTAACTTCGGACTGTTTAACCTCTTCTTATATTTATTTCTAGGGCAGGAGCGGTTTGGCAACATGACCCGAGTCTACTATAAAGAAGCTGTTGGTGCCCTTGTAGTCTTTGATATATCAAGAGGTTCCACGTTTGAGGCCGTCTTAAAATGGAAAAATGATCTGGATAGTAAAGTCCATCTTCCAAGTGGCGGCCCTATTCCTGCTGTTCTTTTAGCTAATAAATGTGACCAGAAGAAGGACAGTGGGCAGAACTCTTCCCAGATGGACCAGTTCTGCAAAGAACACGGCTTCAGTGGATGGTTTGAAACCTCCGCCAAGGTGAGAGCTGCTTTGCCTTTGGGCCCGCTCTGCTGTCAGCTTGTATGTGTGAGCTCTGACCACGAAGTACTTAGCTGGATTGATGGCGGTGGGTGTTGGAAGCCTAGGAAAAAGTGTGGCACAGCGTGGACATGTTACAGCTTCTCTCAGTCCACAGCAGGAATGCTTTCAGAATTGGTCAGTGGGGAGGTGATTGGAAGGACAGATTTCACATTAAAATGAAAATGAACTGTTATTTAGAGCAAATAACAAATCCTACTTTCTGTGCGTTTGAGTCTTTAAATGAGGTCTTGTGCACCTAAAGTGGATGAGGTGAAGCACACGCATTTTTTTATTTTTACAGAAGGCTTAAAAATACATAGGGCCGTATCCCTCATACAGACGTAGTTCATGTGCAAGACTGACTACGGCATTGAAGAGAAGTGTTTGGGTGATGTTTGAAGAGTTGTGTATTAACTGTGTGAAAGAATTTGAACAAGAGGAAAGTATCAGTATTCATGACATAATTCTTTCATGAGTAGTAGAGTGAGAATTTTTCTTCAACCCATTATGGGAAGCTAGATAAAATCTTTTTTTGAAGAAAAACAAAAACACATTAAGTTGAGTGTTGAAAATCTTAACAGCCTTGACACGCAAGAAAGTGAGTGTGAAAATCACAGGCACCAGTACTGGAGGGTGGAGGGCGCTTGGTTGCTGTGTGTTGGCAGTTTCACTTCAGAGGTCGAGTAACAACCAGACTTGTGTAAGAATGATGAAATGTTTGAGAAATTCTGCAATGACAGACAAACTCCAAACCGTGAGTTTGGTGTAATCCTGACACAGTTCCAGGTTTTAATATGCCTCCTGTGCCTTCCATATCCATGTATTTAAAAGCATTGCTCCTCCTCATCACGTATGTACTACCAGATTGTTTTTAGCTTTCAGAAACCCATCCTAAAAGTGGGAGCTTATTTGGTGCCACTGGTGATCAGAATAATCAGAATAACAAAAGAGAAGGCATGAGAGGCCTCACAGAAATGCTGCTCTGAAAACCCTGAGTGAAGATGGGGTCATTGGGCAAACTCGTTTCTGCTGGAGGCAGAAGTGTTTCCTCCCAAGCTAAAGACTATTTTCATTTAAGCAAACATATTCTAGAGTCTTAGCATTTAGTGTCGTACATAGAAAGTAGTGGCAGAAGAGAGAGGAAGCTCGGAGGAGAAGCCACGTGAGCACTTGGCCAGACCGGAAGTAGGCCATTACGGAGGGGAGGCTGCGTCCAGAGGGGCTTGTGCCCGATGCCGTGCGCACCCCCGCCCCGCCCCCGGCTCCTCTGCCAGAGGATTTGCTTGCTTCCTAATCTTTGTTGGAGAAGTTAATGGTATGTGTAAATGTTTAATATAGCGTGAGATTCAGTGGAGTGGATGTATGTACCACAGATAAAAATTTCTGTTTAGGCTTTATCTGAATTAATCATTCAAATGATAAATCCAAATTTATCCCCAGAATCTAAATGGAAGACTTGTAAACAAATGTGTCACCTAGCCCGTACTGTGAGACTGCACAAGTCAACGGCTTCGTTTTACAGTGGTCGGCAAAAGTAGGTTTACAGTTGTGCATACATGAAACAGTTTATTCTTGTGTTATTATTAATTATTTTATTATTTCCATACAAAAAAACTATAAATCTACTTTTGTCCACCCCTGTATTTATAGATGACATCACACAGAGGGATGAGGAGGAAAGCATTGTTAAAAGTAAAGTTCCAGGTATATCCTGTGCTTTCCTACAAATACACGAGGGACACCTTCTGTGGAATTTGGTAGTAAATGGGGAATGTTCCAAGGGAATAACAGGAACGTAAAATTCAGGTTAAAATCTTTACCCAAGGCTTAAGGCCCCATCCAAGTGTCGCTAACACCTGTACTACTGACCTAGCCAGAAGCTGCCTTCAAGTCTGATTTCTGCTCAAATTCCAGGGATCGGAATTCTAGCAGGAACATAGCCAAACGATTGTTTTGAGTTCATGAATTTCATCTTTTTACCTCTGTGGCCAATAATGCCGTCCCAATATGAAAACATGTGATGAATTACACTACAACATGGGAGTTTTTGTTCCTAATCAGTGGCCACTGACTGCAATTAGAACACATAATTACTTGATATAGTGGGGATGGAGGGAACTGAAATACATTTGAACATTCAGAGACCAATACTTTAATTAAAGTTAATCCATATCTTGGGAGTGGAAGTAACAAAGCTTGCGTTGATGCTGGAAAAGTTACTTTAATAAATAACACAAGTCCTGCAGGTTTCTCAGTGTCTGAGAAAGGTATAACAAATACCTTTCTCATGGTGACTAGAATGAACCTCATGGTGTTGAATTGGAATTGGAGAGATCAGTATTAACATAATGTTATATACATACATATATATATACCTTATGTATATATGTCTGTGTTTGTGTGCATACACACATACTGCACACATATGTACACACTATATATGTATAGACAGAGGTAAACATAGAAACAGATATTAGTGTGTGTAGGGAGACACATGTATATTTAATGGGTCTGTCTGCTGAGAGGATTTAGAAGCAGTGACACCACAGAACCAATGACCTTATGAGTGCTTAGTAACTTTAAATACTACTGTTTTCCAATAAAAAGAACCAGGTTTCCTGGAGAAATGGCAGATTTCAGGACTGTGGGGCAAACACAGTAAAGACGTGCCTGAGATATTTATTTTGTGGTGCCAGAGAGTAAGGAACCCTCACAAGGTGTGGTGGAGACAGGTCAAAAAGACACAGGAACCTATTTGTAGGAGCTCCAAAATGTAAGACAATTTGAGCAGCAAAGTAAAGAATATTGTGCCCTGACTGGTGTGGCTCAGTGGATTGAGCACTGGCCTGCAAATGGAAGGTCACAGGTTCAATTCCCCGTCAGGGCACATGCCTGGGTTGCAGACCAGGTCTGCAGATAGGGCCATGCAAGAGGCGACCAATGGATATTTTTCTCACACATCAATGTTTCATCTCCCTCTCTTTCTATGCTCCTTGCCCTCTCTCTAAAAATAAATAAATAAAATCTTTAAAAAGAGAATATTGTAATAGGTTTAATCCATAGGATAAAATAATAGCCCATGAGATGAGTAAACAGATGGATAAATAAATGGGAGAGAAGAGAAAGATCTTCCTAACAGTAGAATCACAGCTAATAAATGTAGAAGGGATGATGAAAACAGAAAATCACCATTAAACACCACTGTGATCATTGTTTTAAGGAAGAATTGATCCACACCAGCTCCTTTCCCTAAAAACTACAAACACACAGAAGCTCCACCTCTATAGACATGGTTGGAGTCTCTCCTCCTTCTCTCATGGGGTGAGTCCACCGCCACTCTGTCTGTGAAGTGGCTGCTTGTCCTCTCTGCTCAATAAAACCTATTTCCACTTTTGCCTCTTGTCTGGCTCGTGTCTCGAATTCCTTTCCGGGCATAGCCGAGAACCCCTCTGGCATCACTCAGAGATGGGGGAGCGACATGATGGATTTATCCCATTCTAGTGTGGTGTGAGCCCTCTGACACTTGTCTTCATAATGTATCCTGAACACGTGAGTTAGATGTGCAAGGTCAGGGGTAGTTTTTCATTTTAGTGCTTGCATTCGTGTGTGTGACAACCCGAAGGAGGGCGAAGACTTATTTGCAACCATCACAATAGTACCTTGACCCTCAGTGGCAGAAACTTTAAAGCAGGAGCATCAAAAAGCATGATCCTTTGTAAAACAACAAACAAACAAACAAACAAGCACACACAAAGAAGTTTTCATAGCCACATTACTCAATAGCATTGAACTCTTGGCAAACACTTTAAACATCCGAGAAGAAGATGGTAGCTGGTGTATTTACAATGTCCCCTCCGAGGAATTTTTCTAGTTCCCATTAATATTCCTGGTGCTTTCCTCTAAGAATCCTGTTCTGTATTTCTGCTTTACAGGATAACATAAACATAGATGAAGCAGCCCGGTTTCTGGTGGAGAACATTCTCATGAACCAGCAAAGCTTTCCTAATGAAGAAAACGATGCGGACAAAATTAAACTGGATCTCAAGGCCTCGCCCGTGGATAACAAATCCCAGTGCTGCTGATGTGGCTGTGGCTCCTTGCTCCTTTCCTTGCTCCCACTGGCGAGAGGCAGCCTGACTTGATTTCTCCACTTGGAGCAAATTCCTGAGAACAGAGTAAGCTGGTGGATGTGCTGCTCTGGGCATCTACCCAGGGCTGTGCGTCCACAGGACAGCGAGGGCGCCCGGGAGCCTAAGCTGAAATGGGGTGTCATGGCTCTGCACCTTGGAGCCAACACTTAGGCCTCTGTTGTTGTTGCTGCCATCATATTCAGGATAATGTTTACATCCTTCTGAACGCCTTCTCAAAGGACAGTGCTCAGGGTTTGGTAAGGGTTCCAGATTGTGGATCTTACTGTAAGCACTGGGGTGGTAATAAAACTTTCCCTGCCGTTTACAGTAATTTTATGAGTCCGTATTTTTGTGTTTCGGCTTCCCTTTTGAGGGAAGTTTTTAGACTGTTAGCCACAGAAGGCTTGACATTTCTGTTCGGCAGTTTGTGGGCTTTTTTCTCAAAATTTCTCTCTTAACTAGCGCTAGTCTTTTCAAATTTGTAATAGTCACAGTCAAGGAGAGAATGTATTTCAAAGCACATACAATTAGATCGAAGATTCTTTTAGTATGAATTGTGAAAAACTAAGTCAGGTGTGGTTTTATATAAAGTTTTGGGCATTTAAAGTATAAATCATGAGAAATGTAAGTCTGGCTCACAATCTTTGTATTACCACTCAGTCCAATTAAGAACAGAATAAACATTTTGACAGAATTCTTTGTTTTGAGTTAATGTGGTTCTCCCAAGGTAATATAGGGTATACTTTTATGCTTTAAAAAACGTTGCATCTCTTCACTTTTTCTTTTATTATTAAGGAATTTAATGATATTAATGTGAAAGGTCCAACTTTTTCAAAGGAATATTTGAAGATGTTTGTGACATAATCCAGTGCTAATGTGAAATGAGGCATTGACTAAATTGTCTTATATGTTCTTATGAACTTGGCTAGGAAAGATCCATGCATTTATTAATAGCAGGGAAAAACCCTAGCATGGAGTTGCATTTGCTCTGACAGCTGTGTTCTGGAAATAAACAGTAGCCACGGTCCGCCGAATGCAGCTCACGCTCCTCATTAAAGCAGCTTTGGGTAGGAATCACAAATATGTTCATATGTCATATATTTAAGTAAATCAACTCTTGGCCTTTTTTGACAGACATTTTACATAGAATCAGATTTTTCTAAGGTTAAAGAATAGAAAGAAGACCCTCGTTTAAGCATCACTTACCATTTGATGAGCAAAACACCTTGTATTTAAAAAAAATCATTGCATGAAGACTTCCTTTCTAAGAAACTTTTGTGTCATATTCTAAAATATTTTTTTAGTCTAGGTACAAAGCACGACTTTTTAACTTTTTAAAAAACTTCTGAAGTCCAATAGTGTGAGTCATATGAAATATCGGTGCCAAATCAAAAATGTTACCGATACAGAGCTATTTGAAGTAGTCACTGAAAGAGAGTAAATTCTGCCTGGAGTTTTCATATAGGCATTGATCATTCACACTGACGTAGCAGTGAATTCAAAATCAGAAGCATTGCACTCTCTCTGCCCATCTTGACCACATTAGGTATCTTCTCTTTAAGGATAAGTTCAACGATTGGCAGTTCCCTAACTAACTGTCTTGTGGCAAACACTCTGGGTTCTGTACACCTGTGTTAGTTTATTCTATACATAATTCCTTACACTTTGGAAGTAAAACTGAGTAACTCTTTGCTTTACTCCTAAATTCTCACTAGAGTTTGTTCTTGCAACTTGAACTTAAAGCTTGAATTTAAGGAAGGCAATGTAAATGGCTGAAGAAGAAAATAATTTGTGTTTTTGATGGACTTGTTTGATGAAAATCCTTGAGTTTCATTTCATGCTTATTTAAATAGCTTTCTGGGGGTGAGCTTCAGAAATCTGCTTTTAAAAAACCTGGTGATGTTCATTTTGAAATCTCCCTAGGGTAAGTAACAGTAGTTAAAGTGTTATTCGATTCGAAATCTATGGTATTGTTCAAAACATGAACATTCTTCAAATATAGCACTTCACTGTCACTTACAAATCAGTGTTATTAAAAAGTCTGGCCAATGCCCTGGCTGGCGTAGCTCAGTGGATTGAGCGCGAGCTGTGAACCAAAGCATAGCAGGTTTGATTCCCAGTTGGGGCACATGCCTGGGTTGCAGGCCATGGCCCCCAGCAACCAACCGCACATTGATGTTTCTCTCTCTCTTTCTCCCTCCCTTCCCTCTCTAAAAATAAATAAAATCTTAAAAAAAATGTCTGGGCACTAAACAGGGGACAGGCCAGGCAGACCTGTTTTCATCCACTGAAGGAAGTGGAGGCTTCAGGGTTCTGGCAGGCTAGACTAACCGACAAGTGCAGTGGCCACCACTGGCTAGCCATTGGAGAAAAGGAACTCAAATCTCCCTCGCACTGCACCACAAATTGACACAATCTAGAGGTTAATGACTTAAATGCAAAAACAAGAACTAAAACTGCAAAGACTTTAGTATTGTTCAAAATAGGACAACAGTCCCAAAATGGAGTCACTTATATTAAGCCGTGCATCATCAAAACCAAGATTTAATTGCTCTGTTGGCCTCTCCCAGAAATGGAATCTTAAACCAGTTGACCAGGAATCACCTGATCAGCTGCTAGTTAGGTAATCTTCCTGACTGACCCTTGCCATGTCCTAAAGGACGGTAACCTTACCACAACCAGCACACTTGTGGCTAGTATAACCACCTCGGTTGGCTCCCTCTGCCTTTAAACCTCTTTCCTTTTCTACAGCATCTCACAACTCCTTTCTGTCTGTTCGAGGAGTTGCTGGTGGATTCATGGATCACTGGGTAAAACCAATTAGATTTTTAAACTATACCTACGCAAAAATGGGCAAAGAATGGAAAGCTAGCATTTTATAAAAGAGGCAATTCATGTGTCAAATCTTAGTAACCAGTAAGAATATAAAAATAAAACAAGGTGTCATCAGATTCGCAAAGAAATGTATGACTTCAGTGGCGAACGTAGCAGGAAATAGGTGTGTATGATCTGCTGTTACCCCATGTTTGTTCTGATAGCTTCGTCCAAGTTTCCCTCCTGTGTCGCTGTTCACTTTCCACTCCTAGTTCGTGTCTCGCCAAGAAGTAGAATTGCTATCGCTGGGGAAAATAATCAAAAACAAAACCTCCTCCTAACTCAGAAGAGCTCTCCACAAAGATAAAGAGAGAGGCAGCAGTGTCATCACTGAGTAAGCATGAAAACAGAGTACGTTCCAAGCGATCCACTAGGAGGTTGGAGAGGCCCTTACGGAGTCCGGCGGATGCAACACGTACCATGCCTGTTCTCGAGGAAACCAGTTATCCCCGGGTAAGAGGACTGGTCAGCAGCATTTGTTGCACACAGTTCATCTGAAATTCACCTGATAATTGAGGAGACTGTCTGTGTTAGCTAATTGGCTTTATCTAAAGGAAAAAGAAACTTCTATCTTTAGGGCTTGAGGTAGTGTTACAAGTTGGTGGGCGGCTCCCCCAGAGGTTAGGCTCCTCCCCTTCCACAGACACTGAGAAGGAGGGTTCCCATCTGCCTTGGTAAGTACATTTCAAGGAGCTGGCTGCCAGGTCCTTGAGAAAGCTGGCAGAGGCTTAGATCAAAGAGAAAGAACCTACAGGTTTCAAATTAAAGAAACTCTCAGAAAACGTGCAGAGGAGGCATAGGTCTCTCTTCTTTTTTCAACAGGGGAATTAAGCCCTTTATTTTTAATTAGTATTTGCCCTATCAACCTGGGAGAGAACAATGGAGCTCTAACAATCGGTGTGCTCCGAGTACGTTAAACTAAAGTGATTTATAGTTTGAAAATAATAGGATGGGCAGGGACATGTGAGGGCAACACAAACAAACCCAAAAAGGCACAGATTTCAAACAAGGTAGATGCCAAGCAAAAGCAAAAAGCACCCAATGTGAAAGAGAAGAGCATGTTATTACAAAGAAAATAACCCACAATGAGAATTTAACAGTTATAAATGCTGTTACGCTAATAATCGACATTTGTAAACAAATTCTAGGGAGCATCAGGAAAACATGTAGTGTAAAAATTTAGCTGAACTTTTCTCATTCACGTATGAAATAAGGCGGATTCTCTGCAAACACATACACACCTCCTCCGAAAAATATATATCTTATTTTCCAGTAACCATGGAAAAATCAATCACAAAAGTCACCCTGGATTAACCATAAAGAAACCTCAAATTTCTAAAGAAATTGAGTTAACATTCATCATAAAGCAGTAAGATCGGAAAACAACAGAAGGCCAACCAACTAAACCAACTAAACCAACTAAATCAAACCAACTAAATAGAAAAACTAACCTGGACATACATCTCAGGCCAGGGGAAAAAATCAAACATAAAATTACAGAATATCTGGAAAATAACTGCCACAAGGATACCATTTGTAGAAACCTCTGAGCTGCAGACAGGAACATCAAAATCAACAGTTTACCTAAAAATGACTAAACAATAAAAGTGAATGGAACAAACCTTTAATGCAAGAATTTAGAAGACCAGTGAAGGAAAAAAAATATTAACAGCAGAAGTTAATTTACTAGAAAACATAGTATTTATTGTAAAATAATTATGGAACAAGAGGATAAAATAGGTAAACCTGAAAATTGTGGTAAAAAGAAAATAATCACCTTTAAATAAGGAGGTAAAAGAATCCTAATTGAAAACTTTGCTCAACACTATGCATATGAATTCAAAAGGAAACATAAATTTCTTAAACCGCTCCAGGGAGAAAAATAATCTAATTTTTATATTTGAGAAATAAGTGGTCAACCATCTCAACTTTACATAGCCCAGCTCTGCTGGTAACCACATAGCCAAAAATACCCAAGATCTGGAATATATCGCAGGAATTCATCTCCCCAATGCCATTTTTACTGTTCCAAAGCATAGAGCAAAGAAAACTGTCCATCGTGAAGGAAGTTAGTTTTGAAGTGTAGCAAATACCTTGTGGCTTGCCTGAAGCGGGGCAGCCAAAGGCTGACATTCCGGCCAGTTCATGGACAGTCTCGGCCACGGTGGAACTAGAGGGTGACTAGTTACCCGTGGTGAGGGAGTCTAAGAGGTGCTGCTAGTTCAGCTGTTTTGGCAACACTGCGAAAGCAATCCCAAGAGCTCTAGGAATGCTGACGTCATGCACACCCAAACTTCCATGACTGTGTTGCAGTCAGAGGGAGGGAGTGGACTTTCCGTAGATGGAGTGGGGAGGACAGAGAAGCCAACTCTGAATGTCATGGCCTCAGTCTTGCTGCTGTTTTCTTAGGGTTTCGGGTATGCTGTCAAGAATGAATCAACACAGTTGTGAGCTCATGATTACATAAATATTGAAACCATCAACCTGAAAAAAATGTTATTTACTGGAAATAAAATGACCAAACCATGAAATCTTTGTAATGAAAATGATCAAAATAATATGACATCTTTCAGGATTAAAATAGACATGTATATAAAGGAAGTTAGTGTGATATTTATACTGAAGCCTGAAAAGGGTGCACCAAAATAGCAAACTAGTTGCCAACCTTAGAGCAATGCAAAAGTCTACATAAATAATTAGCTAATGAAATGAACAGCACAATAAAGACCAATATCAGATATCCAGGGCGGGTTTATACAGTTACTTAACTATTAAGATTGTTAGGAAAGCTATTACTGAAATTTACCACCAAAGCAAGTC